TATTTGGTTTTCTGGTTTTGGTTTTTGCATTTTCGATGATACCCCATACGTGTTTAGATACGCCGTTTTTCGAGATCTTCGCCAACTCGGCCGCGAAAGTGCCGCTGCGCCATCGCTGGGACTGCGTGTTGAACCGAGGCAAATGCCGGCGACAATGCTACTGCGCTATCGCCCAGGCTTGCCTCGTGGGCGCGCTTTGCGAATTATTTCGATTTTATTTATTACGAATATACAACGTTGTTTGTCTTATTCAGCTCATTCATGGACAGACAACGGTGAGGGAGAACCCATATGTTTGGTCACTTCTTTTCTTGGTATTATCCTGCCTACGTGAGGTTCCAAAAGTCATGGCTACCCTTCCTTCATCCTTGTCAGCTCCTATTGTGCTAACTAAGCTCAGCGCGGCACGATGCGTGCTCAGCAGAGGAGAAACAAAGTGTGAAACGTTTTTGATTCATTCCTCTTCCCCTGTTGTTATTGACGTCGGTAGGACAGAAACACCACGAGGATCGCACGCGCCTAGGCCCGAGGAAGAAATGTGGCGTGTAACCCAGTGCCACGAGCACCACATGGCGCACGTCAACGACTAGATCGTCGCAGAAGGCGAAACTCGAGGGCACGAATACGAGGAGGTTCCATGTAGATGAATTCATGAACGCCTTCAAGCCCCCTTCTCTCTTCCACACTCCAAGACTAAACATTCCAGAAGGACGGCGAGAAGTCTCAATGCAGACAAAATAGACGAAAAAGCGTTGTGCGCCACAACAGCCTCTTCTTGGTGGTTCGCCCACTGCGCCGGGTAAATGCCATGTCACCACACAAACCTCGAAACGATGATGGCGTCTGTCTGCGGTCCCACGACATCGCACCGCCTCCGTTACGCATGGCGCGGCCTGTTCAGCCCTCCGTCGCGTCCTGCGGCGAAGAGAACTCGAGGCCATTCGTTACTGGACATTCATTTGAGGCCCTGAAGTCGGCAATCCGCATGATCGTGCCTATCAGAAACGCAGAGCCCAGCCTTCTCCAAAGCTGGGAATGACCACACTTACGTCGTGCTCCGTTTCCTCTCCCCCCTCGTCCATCTCATTGCTTTCTCAAGATATTACTTACGTCTCTTCTATCGCTGTTCCTTGCAGCTTGCTTACTCACTTGCGCTGTGCTCCTGTGACGCGATCGGAGTGGACGTCATTTCACCCCCTCCTCCCCTTCCTCGTCCAACGTTGCGTCAGGGTGTGAGACCGTATGATGGAAGTTTTCAGAGAGGCGTAGCTCAGCCTTTTCTTCTCTCTCTCCCTTCCTTCCGCTTAGCTGCCAAGCGATTTGCTCATGCCGTTGGCTCGGAGCTGACGCTGGATCTTTTTTTTTAATCGGCGTTGGAACAGGGATCCTATCAGCCCACGAAAACGGCGTGCGCCAGTCTCGGGCCCGATTGGCAGGAACATCTTTCCAATCCTGTCTCTGGGTTCCATTCAAATACGAAAGTCCCTTTGTCACTAATGAGCATTCTCCCCCGTACCGGTGTGCGCATTCGTCAACCTCCTTGCTTCCATCACCCACTCACTCCCTGTTGGCTGGTTTTCGGCAGCACAATCCGAATCTCTCCATCCCGGCCGTCGTCGTCCACTTAGACATCCCGTCCAGGATTGGGAAACCCATGTCGTCGATAACAAGGATGGCCGACTAAGTGGCCCGCCCCCAAAACAGACGCAACGGAGAGGCGTGGGGACCGGGGGGCAGCAGGGCAGGGAAGAGAGGGCCGTCCCGGGGTCGTGTTGCGCTCGTACACCGACCAACCACAACCCCCGGATCCCGTGAGCCTCCCCTCTCCCCCCAAATCTGCGGTGCATGCGGCACAGCCCGGCCAAGAAGGGGGGCGGAAAATGTGGCTCCTCCTCCCGCATATGCGCCGTGAACCGTAGACACGACACGCGGTGCAGCCACATCTGCCACATGCCAGAGGCCGAGAGAGATGACCTCCAACAACACACCCCCTGCGACTGATTACTATCACTACGAATTGGCAGCATCGTTCTGGCGGGGTCGTACCGAAGAGAGAGAAACGTCCGCGAGTCTGAGGGTGCTGGGGTCAAGATGATCTCTTTATCGGAGACGGTCCCGAGAAGAGGCGATGTCGACTTAGACGGTTGGATGTACCTTGCTTTAGGCTGTATTGTGGATGTCGAGCTGTGCCTTACTTCTGCGCCGCAGCTCGTTGATACCCACCCCTTGCAAAAAGACCCATGATTTACGGCGGCCGCTGTGTGATGTGTTGCCTTCCTATTCTTGGTAATTCTTCCAAAGGGAGGGCGGGGAGGGGAGAGGTACGGCCAAGGTAGTAAGTATATCAGTCCTGTCCCGCGTGGTTGCTCAGAGAAGGGACAGCGTGCCGTGCTCCCAACTCGACAAGGTCTCTCGTTGCTCACCATGGCAGGCGAAGTCGACAACCCCCCCTCAGACGACAGACCGCTCCCCCGAAGCCGAGATGGAGGAGAGGAGGAAGAAAGCGTCAGGCAGCAGAAGAGGGGGAGGAGCAGCACTGACGACAACGGCGAAGAAGGCAGCATCACCACCGCGGACGAAGCCACCGTAACCAAGCCGGCGCCGGCGCGCAGCAAGGCCCAGACGACGATTCTCATGCTGGCGCTCTGCATGGCCGTGTTCCTCGCCGCCCTCGACGCCGTCATCATCACGACCGCCCTGCCGACGATATCCAGCGCCGTCAGCGCCTCTGACTCGGGCTTTGCGTGGATCGGCGCCGCGTACCTCCTCGCCAACGCCGCCTCCGTCCCCTTCTGGGGCAAGGTCAGCGACATCTTCGGACGCAAGCCGATCCTCATCATCGCCAACGTCGTCTTCATGGTCGGGAGCCTGGTGGGCGCGCTCGCGGGGAAGCTGACTATGCTCGTCGCCGGGCGCGCGGTGCAGGGGCTCGGCGGCGGGGGGCTGATGGCGCTGGTGAACATCACCATCGGCGACCTCTTCAGCCCGCGGGAGCGCGGGGCGTACTTCGGCATGATTGGTGCGGTGTGGGGTCTAGCGAGCGGGATTGGGCCGCTGATCGGGGGCGGGCTGACAGAGAACATCTCGTGGACGTGGTGTTTCTGGATAAACCTCCCCATCTCGGGCGTCTCGCTGCTCATCCTCGTCTTTTTCCTCAAGATCCACACGCCCAAGACGCCGCTCGTGAAGGGGCTGATGGCCATTGACTGGCTCGGGTCCATCACCTTCACGGGAGCGACGTTGATGCTCCTGCTGGGGCTGCAGTTCGGCGGGCTGAGGAACCCCTGGGGCAGCCCGACGGTCATCTGCCTCATCGTCTTCGGCTGCGTTGGCTTCGGTGTCTTTGCGCTGGTGGAGAAGTTCCTGGCAAAGTACCCCTTAATGCCACAGTCTCTCTTCAGCGAAGTCTCAGTCGTGTTCTGCTACGTCGCCTGCTTCTGCCACGGCGTCGGCTTCGCAGCGATAGCGTTCTTCCTCCCGCTGTACTTCCAGACAGTCCTCGGTGCCAGCCCGATCCAGTCCGGCGTATGGCTTCTCGCCACGGCACTCCCGCTCGCATTCTGCACCATCGCCGTGGGCGTCACGATCAAGAAGACAGGCCGGTACAACGAGATCATCCGCGTGGCGATGGCGCTAACGACGCTCTCCTTCGGGCTCTTCATCACCTTCCCCTCGCGGCGCGACTGGCCGAAGCTCGTGCTCTTCCAGATCGTCGCCGCGCTCGGCATCGCGCCGAACCTGCAGGCGCTGCTGATCGCCCTGCAAGCGCTCGTGCGGCAGCAGGACCTCGCCGTCGGGACCGCGACGTTCGCGTTCGTGCGGCACATCGCGCTCGGCATCGGCGTCGTCGTCGGCCAGGTCATCTTCCAGGGCGTCATGGGCCGGCACGCGGCGTCGCTCGTCGGCGCGGGCATCCCGGAGGACGTGGCGGCCAAGATCGGCAGCGGGTCGACGATTGCTGCGCACGGGTTGTTTGAGACGCTCTCGGCGGCGCAGCAGGATGTCGTGAGGACGGCCGTGACGGACAGCATCAGCAAGATGTGGATCTTCTTCTGCGTCGCGTCGGGCGTTGGCTTCATTTCGACGTTTTTTATCAGGCAGATTGAGCTGCGGCAAACTCACACGGAGACCAAGACCGGGTTGGAGGTGGAGGAGGCCAAGGTCATTGAAGGTGCGCGAGAGAAACCAAGGGATGAAGAGGAAGCTTGAACAAAAGCCGGCCTTATGTTGCGACTAGACTGCGAATTGTTGATATTTCCCGAGATTGTACATGATGATGGACGAACATAGATGACCAAGAAGGCGCCAACCGAAGCCCCATAATTGCGAATAGAGTGGTTGTACATCTAAAAACGCTGAGTTAAAGCGACTTTTCACTCCTGAGATCAAGAAATAGCTCAACCCTCCAGAATTAAAGTAAAACGAAAAAGAATTGGGACTGCAATTTGAGAAGACGTGGCGAAGATTGGCGGTTGTGTCTACGCTAGGGTTCATGATTGTGTCTTGCGGATGTTTAGATATCAGCACTTCCTCGATAGTCTAGTGGTGAGGATATCGGCTTGTCATTCAACGTTTCGCCGGGGACCGGGGTTCAATTCCCCGTCGAGGAGTTTCTTTTTGCATTTTTGCCAATTTGCCGATTAAATCTTGGTTGATTCGATTCTCCTCTCCTGTCACACTCTGACATTTATATCTTCTTCGCCTGTTCTATTTGCCTTGCTAAATATCGCTGTATATAGACGTTGGGACGCATTATTAACCCCAGGGTAAGTCGCCGCCGTTTTAAGAATACACGCTCGCAACACAGACGGCTTTCTGTGCACTCTCTCGTGGTCAAGATTAATGGAATTGATTACTTGACGCGTGCACATCCATCCATTTAGTGTTACTATGACCGAACCTCTCTTCTCTGTTCGCTGTTTCTCTAGTCCCGTGGGGATTTTGATAAAAATGCAATCATTGCATCGTTGCATCATCCCACCCTCTCCTAACACCAAAGTTCAGTAAACATATCGCCAACCTCTCTCAACCCCAGAATGCTCAGAATACCCCCCGGCCTCGTCCAGCTTCTTGTTCAGCTTGATCGCGCGCCACTTTGCCAATCCAGCTGAGGTGATGACCAGGAGACAACCGACCAGCACTAAGCCACCCCCGAGGCGGTAAAAAGGCTCCTGCGAGCGCGGCCAAAAGTACGGGCTGAACCAGTGGCTCGTCTGGCTGATGCAGTTTGCAATGGCAATCAGCGCGGCCTTCTTGCTTCTCGGAGCGGGTACGACGGACGTCTCCCACGAAAGTTGCAGGTTGAGGCCGTTGTAAGTACCGGATATAAGCAGGAACAGGCCAAAGTAGCGGGCGCCAATGTTCATTGTCGATATGAGGACAGAGATGCCGACAGCGCTGCCGATGATTGGCAGTACGACGTGCCAGAAAGACTCTTGATTACGACCCGAGGACCAGGCGCAAACGCAGGCGAATATGAAGGAGAACGCGTAGGGAGGTGCTTGGATGAGGTATGTTGTCAACTCGCCAAAGTCGAAGGTTTTTACAATCTGCATCCTTCATGTAAGTGTTCGTTGTTCATCAAAGTGAGTGTGCAAGACTTACGGATGGGAAGAAGTCCTTGAAAGACTGTGCTGTGACGAGAGCAAAGTGCATGAGGCAGAAGATCCAAGTAAACGGATCTCTGACCGCATCCTTCAGACCATCCCAGGTTCCACCTACGGTCTCTTCTTGGCCGCCGTTGGAGCACAAAATCCTATATTGTGCCATCTCTCGCTCAGCGGGCGTGAGGAAGCGGGTGTTTTGCGGCCAGTCGGGCAGAAGAAAGAAAGCTGACAAGCCGATGACGAATGTCGCGATTCCCTCGATGAGAAAGAACCACTGCCACGAGTGGAGATTTTTGACTCCGTCCATTGTGGTGAGAATTCCTGCTGCGAGAAAGCCTGAGATGATGTTGGAGATGGTGTTTCCCGCATGCCAGACGGCCATGCGCATGGGGCTCTCGTGCTTGTTGTACCAAGACGACGTCACTACCGATGTCAACTTCCTTCAGATTCCTCGGCCCTGACAGGGATCACTTACGAAGTGTAATTCCTGGGAAGAAAGGGGCCTCGCACAACCCTGTGAGGAAGCGAAGGGCTGCGAAACTTGCGCCGCTGTTCAGAGAGTCAGCAAATGTACAACTTCAATGATGCTGACCTCCAGGGATTGGCTGACTTCTTCAGAGCTGGTGTGCAGATCGTTGCTGACCCCCATAAGAGCATGATTGAGGGGAGAAACCACCTGGGATTGGACTTGGCCAGCCACAAGTTGCCGGGCAATTGGCCAATGAGATAGCCGATGTAGAAGGTGGAAATCCCCAAATTCCACATGGTATCTGACATATGCAGATCTTCCTGCATTCCGGCCAATCTCGCATTAGAGACGTTGATCCTGTCGAGATAACTAGAGTCTGTATTAGTCGATCAAATCGGTCTTTGAACAACGGTTGTTCGATCTCGGATGTAAATGTGGAATCATTCTACTTGCCTCATGAGAAACACTAGACAGGTTCCATTAGCAAACATGTTCAGTTAGGGGGTGGATCAAAACGCCTTACTCAATGTGATGGTCGGCATCATGCGCCAGTCAACTTTCTTTACCACGCTCTTGTTCAACTGTTCCATCTCGGCGTTGCTCAAGTCGCGAAGGAGATCGAATCGGCCCTGGATCTCTTCTGGAGAGAACTGCCGGTTCGGCTCCGACTTGTCAGCAGAGGAGCGCTCAATCTCATCGCATCTGGCGACATCTTTGCCGGCGCCACCGTCGTTGAGCCCTTCGTTGGAAGACATGGCCATGAAAAGTCTGGGAGTCGTGGGAACAAGTTGCCAGTGACACCAGAGAGCTGTGTCTTCCCAACACCTCACAAAATGCCCTCCACGATAAGGGTCTCACTCTTATATTTGTGCAACTTGCGCCAAAGCAAAGCAATCTGAACTCCACATAGCCTTGCCCATTCAGTGTTAACCAAGATGTCCTGGATCTTGGCACCTGGGGACTCCAGATCAACCCCGCGTTTGGATTACCTAGCATTGCCAACGAAACTGGCAAACCTGGGATGCTACTGGGATGTGCTGGTGAGTGAGACGGGATCTCCACAGCGGGTTTGTTGCGTTCCCGCGGGAGGGAGAGACCGGGGTTATCCGCGACCCCTCATTCCTTCGCGCTACCCGAAACGTTTGGTGCGTTGGTTGACAAGAGACAGACGGACACAAGCCAGGAGCGCTACTCTGACATTCAGGTGCGTCCAGATCACCCGCCGCCCTAATGTGGTGCTAGATACGCAAGCAGAGTGGAGAGGCCGAGCTAAGGATAACATAGTGTAACGGATAAGGACTCACTAGTCGACTTAACCTTTTAATGGCAAGAAAAGTACTAGTTACAGGGAGCGCAGGTAAGAAAAATCGCGTGGAGAGGAAGGACAGCGCAGGTGAGTGAGCTGTCGGTCTGGTAGTTGACAGTTTCTCTGGGGATGCTTGAGCATCCAAAGTGTCTAGTACAGTTAGGTCTAGAAGCGACATGAGAATAACACCGGAGGACCTTCACTAAATCTTCGATCCTTCAGCTATTCGCATCATTTTTCAAGTCAAGATTATATTTCTATTCTATGTAGTTGCTTTGTTTAGCAGGAATCCCTCACTTCTCGCCATAACCGAGACTATGTTTACTTGATATAATGCTGGACAGTGGCAAATGCGTCTCATACCTTGGAACAATCATCCATTGATGGCAGACCAAAAAAAGGGGCATACTCACAGGACTGTACCACGGGTCTGTCCTCTTGTCGACGTCGGCAGTCTTTTCCGTAACTTGGTTTTCGGGGCAGCGATTGAGCTGGCAAACATGCTGCTGGCCACACTCAAGGAGTCAAGGTGGTGACCACAGTGATAATGGCGAATTGCCTTGGCCGATGACACCGTCGAGACTGACACTCTTCTGTGCCCCACCGACTCGTTGGAAGCGGATGCAGACGCGGAAGGCGCCTGGGGCTTGGAACAAGCGCAGACCCGCGGGGATGACTACGACACCAAAGTCCTTGTGGCAACTCGTATCATCATTGTCGTACCGGCGCTAACGGGCGCTGTCTGGTGGTTCTTTAACTAACGACATGGCCAGGTGAGACCTCTTATTTAGGGCTATCGCAATGATACACTGTGCTGACTATCCGCAAGAGCGCGGCGTTCAATAGACACACCAGGTGGACTGCGGTTGCTGGAGGTAATCGGGACTGTATGGGGGAAGGCGTTGGTCACCTCCATAACTGTCTCGTATGCACTCTTGAAGGTTCTCTATCAGCCAGGAATTAATCCCTCGAGGCCCTCTTTGGGGTGCCGCAATTTAGTGTGGTGATCACCTTCAGAGACGCTGGAGAAATACACCATTTGTGGGCAATGGATCTTCAGCCGATTCGCACCTTTTCCGCCAATCCCCGATTCAAAAGCAAAGAATCGTTGTAACGTGGACTCAAGAAGAGATGAAATTGTGAGATAAGGGTTAGATGAAGTACTAAGAGCTTATCGTTTGCGGTCAAATACGCAGCTAGCTTGGTGGTTATGGCTGCAAAAGACTAGCAACCTTTTCATACACGGTGAACACGATTCCTCCACTCAAAACCAGACGTCCAAGTCTCATTGTGCTTCCGCACCAAAAACCTCGAACACCTCTTTTCGCCAGCACCAACTGGAATGCCTCGGTCGTACTAGCCCCCTTGGCAGACTGCGACATAGTCTTGATCGTGTCAAACGGTTGGGTTGCATACACCGTGATTGTCCCTGCAACAGCACCAGAACCGAAAGTCACCAGACTATTGTTCGGCAAATTGCTCTGTTTTGTAAACTCTCTCAAAATATTGTAAGATCCCATTCGCACTGCCGAAGTTGCTGATTGTTTCAATGTCGTTGACAACAAACCGCGGTAAACTTCACTGATACCATGCTGGCGCACCATAGAGAATAGAGCGTGCGTTCCGCCGGAGTACTTTCTTGTGGACGATTTAGCATCGTCAATTCTTCAAATACTTGCGGTTAGCAGTCGCGTTTCGGCATTTTCGTCATGGTGTTGAAACTCAGATATCACTTACAGCGCAGTTTTGACGCGCTCTGTGGGAGTCACTGCAACGACGCTTTCAACGCATCCTGCGATCATTCCAGCCAAGATGCCCCTCGCCGGCGTCAACTTTCCCTTCTCGTCCATCAACGCATTGCGGATGGAGTCAAAAGATAGGAACCGAACCCCAGCTTTGAAGGTTGTGCCCTAGGAGGTGATTAGCGAAGGTGGTCAACGAAAGTCATCTGAGATATATGGAAGAGCCATTCGTACAATAATCAAGGTCGAGCATCCAGTATAGATAGCTCTAAAACCGTCTTGCTTGGCGACTTGAGTAATGACCGCGAATGGGTTTTTAGATCTTGTCGCGTAAAGCTGAGCTCTTGTTTTTGCGAACTCAAAAGGATACTTCCTCCGTCATCAGAATCGTTTCCCCAGAGGCTCAGAAATGGAGCGACTCACGGTCGCGGCCGCTTCAACACCTCCAGCAATACCGCCAGAAATAAGAGAAACACCTGGTGAAATCTTGTGCTTCTTGCCAGCGCTGGGAGTATTGAGGGCCGGTTGTCTAAGAGAGGTATTGTTCGATGTTGACATTCCCATGCCCGGCGATTGAGGCGTTGTGAGTGCCGTCATGATTGGTCATACACCTTCTGGTTTCGTATCTTGAATTTCTCAGTTACAAGAAACAGGCAACGTATTCTGCGTTCTACCTCTGTAAAAAGATATAGGGGAATCACGCCTAAACGACGACGATGAGTTGAAGGGGCTGGTTTGTGAACTTTGAAAGGATGACATTCCAAATGGAACCTACGATTCACATCACTTCCAATGTTTGGAAACTTGGCTTGCGGTTACCTGGGCATGCACGGTCTGTCTTCATCCTAGATTCCCGCGGTTGACCGTACAGGGTTAGGGGCTCGAGTGGGTAGTCTGACCAATCACGAACCTTGCCGCTTCCGCGGGATGGACGGGAACGATGCTCCCGTCTGTCGCTACCCGTGCGGGAGGCAATCTTTCCGTTTCCCTCACAACGCCGAGTTCAATTACCATCCGCCAATCTATCTTTCACCCACGGGAGCTGTCATTTTCATATTATTCCTTTCTCCAATTTCAGTCTTTTTTAATGGCACCGCTCGGGGACAATATCACAGTCTCGGGCCGTCCTCGCAGGCGGGCCGTAGAGGCCTGCACATTCTGTCGACGTCGCAAGGTTCGTCACCCGCGGAGTCTCACCCAGCACTTCTCCGCTATGATTGTCGTTCCCATGGCTAACATGTTCCGTTCAGATCAAGTGCAATAACGAGCAGCCCACATGCGCCAATTGTAAGACTTACGGCAAGGATTGTGTCTACGAACCCTTGTCTGCCCCTCCCAACAACCCGCCTCCTGCCTCGACTTCGGCTCGTCGTCAGACCGAGCGTCGGCGGCGGACTACACCGAGGGATTCCCGGCAATGGTCCCATCCTCCATCGGGGCCAGAACGCCAAGATGACAGCGGCGGCGAGACCCGTCAAGATACGCCATCACATGTACCTGGCAATGTGGAAGCTCCAGCAAGCCTGCCGGGTCGAGGTCAGCAAAACCAGCGGGAGGAAACACGGGTAGACCAGACTCCCTCCCATCGAGCGGGTGTATCACGTATTGTGGTCTCTGCCAACGGTGTTTCGAGCTATCATGGCCGTACCAGTGCCCTTTTTGAGGAAAGCCTGCAGGAGAGGACGTCTGTCGCGGACTTGCGCCCGCGGATGCCGGACGAATGGATAGAAAAAGGACTAGTCGCCGAGGCAGCCAAGCAACGTGGGTTGATGATACTCTTGAGGGTGATCTTTTGGTGTTGACTTAACGTTAGGTCAACTCGAGGACTTCAACTACCGCGCTGGTACGCTAGACTTTGACGGTGTAGATCCCGAACTGGGGATGCATCTGCTCTCGCTGCATTGGAACCGTCAGCATCATTCGTTCCTGCTGACGTACCGTCCGGCTTTTATGAGAGACATGGCGTGTGGCGGGCCTTACTTCTCGAAGATACTGCTGAATGCCATCTACTTTGGTGCGTCTAAGTTCAGCCCTCGTAGAGAGGTCCGAAGGGACCCCAACGATGTGCGGACGGCTGGCTGGGCATTCCGTGAGCGCGTCCGCAAATTACTCGGCGATGCGCTGGATAGCAGTGACATAACCACGATTCAGGCTCTGCTGGTGATGACGAACTCGCTGTTTGCACTCGGTGATGAGAGAAGCGCTGCTTGGTTGTACGCAGGGCTGGCGTTTCGCATGATCATCGACTTAGGTATGCATGTAGATGCGCCGGGCCTTGGTATCACACGGAAGTTCTCCGATGAGGATCTCGAAATACGGCGAAGGGTCTTCTGGGGAGCATTTGGTACGACACTGTTCCTATTGTTATGAATTTTTCCGGGCTATTAATTCGTTCTCCAGTTGTCGATAAGATCCAAAGCCTCTATCAGGGTCGTCCTGCTTCGTTGAAAGAGTCTGACACTTTAGTTCCCATCAAGTTTCTCGACACCTTCGAAGAGTTCGAGAATTGGGCGCCGTTTGCCTACTCAGCTCAGAACAACAGCTATCCTGGTTCGCCTGCCTATAGTGTATCGACTTTCACCCATCTGTGTAGACTGTCAGTTGTCATGAGCGACATTTTGAGTTGCATCTACACAGAGCGAGCTTTTGACAAAAGCCCCCAAGAGCTATCTACCATGCTTGAGAACCTCAGCTCAAAGCTCGCAGCGTGGAAAGATGCCCTGCCAGCCCACCTAATATTCGACCCCAAAAGCAGCACCAGAGTTCCTCCCCCGCATGTGCTCAGCCTACAGTAAGTCAGTTCGTTTCACCGACACCCAAATCAAATGATTTGCAGTCTAATAATCCGCAAGTGCAATGTATCATGTCCTCACGATCCTCTTGCACCGTCCTTTTGTTGCTGACGGTCATCTCTACAATACGTCTCGCTCCCTATCGATAAACTCGTTCATTACATGTGCCTCGGCCGCCGATAGCATAGTAGGCGTGCTCCGAGTGTACGACAAGGTATTCTCGGTACGGCATGCACCTTATCTGATATCGTATGCTACGTACGTGGCAGCAACCATTCATGTTCGCATTGCGGCAAAGCGGAGCACCGAGTCGGGAGCTCGCGAGTGCTTGGAGACGTGCATGGCCGTCTTCAGAGAGAACCAAGAAACAAACTGGGCTGTCAGAAGGGCAAAAGCAATAGTTGAAGGTCTAATGACAAGATTGGGCGTTGGCCTTTCTCACGATAATGGCAGTATGCAAGTTAGCAATAGCCAGATCTCCGATATGGCGGACACCAGCCCGGAGAGTGCGCGGAATCGTCCCGGAAGAAGACAAACGAGTGGCCTTGGGGAACGTGGCCGCGTGGTGCATCAAAGACCACATCCACCATCGTTGGAGGACGGATCCCCGTCAATGGGCTGGTCTGACATTGATGGTATCATACAGAGCTTCGTCCGCGGACAAGATATCAACTCAGTGCCGACGGAAATGGGACAAACAGAGGCGCAACTCCAGATAATGCCTCAAGCTATGAGTACTCAGCATTCCGGCGGGGACTCGGGGAGTGGCATCGGCAACCCTTCATGGATTCAGGGGCTGCCAGAGGCTGATGCCGGCGCTGCCTCATTCGATGACTTGCTCTTTGGATTCAATGGATCCGCTCTTGATAGCTTTTTCTGATGAATAATACGTCACATCATCACATCAAGTATTCAGTCGTGCTACTACTACCCGTCCGATGCGGCGTCGGACCCCTGTCCGTTGTGGTTCCGGGAGCCCGGCCGGAAGTGCAAGATCAGTCCCGCGGGTGAGCATGACTCCCGCGGGTTTGCCGCCCATGCACACCTGACGATATTCACAGTCTTTAACAGCATATTCATAAAAATGTCGTCACGTATCATCTAGTGATGGTAATGAAAAGCACTTATGAACTCTTTCCGTCTTGTTGCGCCTTAGAGACCCCTAGTGCTTTCACTTCAACGCCCTAAGATCCTCAACCTTGGTCTTAGATCTCTGAAGACTGTTTCCAAATGCTTTCACAATCAAAATTCTTACAAAAACATACCGTAATACGAAGATACATTCACCAGCTATCGCATCATAATCCGACACCATTCCCCATCGCAATCATGGCAGTAACGCCGGCAATGTCGAAACGCCGAGTCAGGCACTCGCTCCCGGCGGTCCTGATGCGAGCCGGGACGTCAAAGGGGCTCTTCATCCACCGCTCACATCTGCCGCCCTCATTAGATGACTGGGCCACGCCCCTGCTTGCAGCCATGGGTTCCAAGAACAACGATGCTCGCCAGATCGACGGCGTAGGCGGCGGGACCAGCGTCACCTCCAAAGTCGCAGTCGTCGCTCCATCGGACAGACCAGGCGTCGACGTCGAGTACACCTTCGTCCAAGTTGCCGTGGGCAGCGAGACTGTTGACCTCAGCGGTAACTGCGGAAACATCTGCTCCGGAGTCGGGCCGTTTGCAGTTCAAGAGAGATTGGTCGCACCGTTGCCAGGCGCTAGGTCAGTGGATGTGAGAATCTTCAACACCAACACCTCGAAAATCATTGTGGAAACGGTCTACGTTGATGAGGACGGCAACGTAGAAGAGGATGGCGACTGTCTCATTCCAGGAGTCAAGGGTCCTGGAAGCGAGATCAAGGTTGCTTTTATCGAGCCAGTAGGAAGCATGACCGGGAAGCTCTTCCCCAGTGGGCGTCGTGCTGAGAGTATCCTTGTCGAGGAGGTTCCTACACTTGGGCCGTTTGTAGTTGAAGCAACGTTGATAGACTCCGCGAACCCGTTCGTATTGGTCGACTCTCAGACTCTCCCAGCCCAACTCACCATCGAGCCGCCAGACTCACCCCTGTCTTTGGAGGTTGCGGAGGCAATCAGAAGACAAGGCGCCGTTCTCATGGGTCTTGCTGATAATCTCGAGCGAGCCAGCCAAGTCAGGGGGACGCCGAAACTCGCCTACCTCTCACCGCCGACCTCGGGCAGCTTATTCAAGCAGACGGCAGATATACGAGTCCAGGCGTACAGCATGGGAAAACCACACCCGAGTCTACAGCTTACAGGAGGAGTCACTTTGGCGAGTGCCATGATTATGGAAGGAACCATTGCGCATCGCATCGCAGACCACAAGACCACGGTGATCACAGAAGGAATTCCCACGCCCAGGAGGACACCGAGTCCATCAGACATGATTGCCGGAGTCGTGACAAAGGGGCTTACGGACGACATTTTATCTCAGATTTACGGCGCAGGTCGGACTTTGCGCATCGAGCACGGCAGTGGTATAATGGAGGTAGAGGCTCACACACGCCAGGATGCCGACGGCATCACTGTTGATAGATGCGTTGTGACGAGAACGGCACGGAGGCTATTTGAAGGCAACGTGTTGTATTACTCTTGATTAATTCGATATATAACGCAACACCGGCGTGAATACAATCAGCTCAACAGAAACTCTCGCTCGGGGCAACTCTCGTCCTTGGTTTCAACCGCCTCCCCATACATGATGCCGTGAACGTAGGTCTCGCCGACCAAACTGTACATCTCACCATCGCCATTTATTCTCAGAACCAGGGGTATCAAAGACCCGTAGAACACCGAAATTGTATCCCCTACCCTGGTGTCGAGTGGCGCAAGACCTATGAAGCCTCGTGCTGTGATCATGAGAGACCGGTTGTAGCAGCAGATCCTCGAGCTCCTATAAAAGCAGTCTTCCCTTCCCCCCATATCATTCAACCCAGTCTCGGGACATTTCCGGGCTCTAAATGATAAGCCTCTTTTGCACTTTGGCGCCTGCCAGCAGCTAACTCCCTTCAGCCATAGTTGATAGTGGGCCAACCACTCCTCGTCCGTCAGCCCCTCCGTCCAGTCCCCTAATAACGTTCTACAGAGATCCCAAAGAAAGTCGTTGCCACTGCCGTATGGGTCATTCTTGAGGCCTGCCCAGCGTTTTTGCCAACACCGAATGGCAGATTGAAAGTTCTCTTCAATAGACGCCATGCTCGAGGTCTGAATAGTCTTTGCGGTGATACCGCTCGGTATCACTACAGCGATTTCGTCAAAGTAGATGCCTTGAAACCCTATGACCAAGTTATCTATGGGCCCTGCACCCTTGGCCCTCTCGTTTCTTTCTGCTCGCCCGACTGCCGCAGAGTTCTCCAGAACCCGAGCAACTCGTTTCGTTCCGGCTCCGACTTTGAACGATTTCCTGCCCCGACGGGCTGCGAAATGCAATATCGAACCTGCCTCCGCTTGATACCTCGGTCCCCAAATACCACACCATGAAGGAAGAGGCTTGTTAAACTCTAATGATCTAAATCGGACCGGGTTTATGCCGTAAGTCTTCGTTAGATACGCAAAAATGGACGTGAACACAGTTTCGTCTGAATGATAGTAGTCAGGCTTGACCCTCAACTGGTCTTCAGGTGATGCCAAGGACAACAGACCAAAGACCATGTCTCTGGAAAGACTCTGTTTGAAGCCCTTTGCTAGCGTCATCCATCTTGGAAGAGGAGCCCTATGGACGTCAGGGTCTGCTCGATATGATTTCCACTCCCTGAGGAGCGGGTAGAAAGGGCACGAGTCGAAAAGCGTTCGGATGAACTCAGGCATTTTATGGACTGATGAGGCAAACTTCTGGTGCCAGACGGCTATTTGGGCGATCTTGTCCAACGGTAATAAGTCTGAGGCCGAACCGCAAATGAGGACCGGATTTCTGGAGAAGAAGGCTTCTTGTATCACCCATCTCCGTCCCCACCAAGGGTGACTGAGAAGCAACCTAATAGCCCTCCAGTTTCTCGATGTTTGAGAGCTGTCGCGCCAAATAGCAACACGAATATTGTCTTGCTTCAGTTCGGGCTGAGGCCTGTCTGCATTCTGATCGCCAGCAGTTCTCTTGAAGTGGTTCATGTCTGCTCGGAACTTTCGGGCATCAAGTTGTGATGTGGCTCGGATGCCTTTAAGATTATCGTTCGTGTATATATATGTCGTAGAGGCGAGTCTGTAGATGCTGGCCATCAACAATATCTGCCAAGACTTTTCCCGGTGATCTTGCTGGTTGATGCAGACAGCATCGACCCAAATGCGCCGTGAAAGGGTCTTTTGGTAGCTTCCAATGGATCGAACAGCTTGGAATAGCGTTTGAGTTACGTCGATAATGTGGCCATCGACATAGAGCTTTCCGCGCTCTCCCCGGGGCGGTGATGAAGAAGCCCAAACATAAGACAACGCATCGTATTCAGGTTGGTCATCCAAGGACACGATTTCCATAGACGCATGAACGGTATTGACGGCAATATCCATGGGATCGACAATTAGAAGTCTAATCTCCCGCTTCTCTTGTCTTAGGGGCCAGTATCTCAGAGCCCCACGAGAGGGTCTAGCCCCCAAACTTGGAGATGCCGAAGAACTACCGGGTCTTCGTATTGACTTTTCTGTCTTTTCATGGTTGGAAAGTTTCTGTACGTTTCCTGCATTTGAGAACTTCATAGACATGGGAAAGCCATGTAGTGTTTGCGCCGTCATGGTCGAAATGTGTATGATGTTAGAGGTGATCAAATGGAGAGGTCAGACTAAAAGTTGAATCTGATGATGGAATTGGGACGTTTATGAGGGGAAGGGTGACTGAAGTGAGGAGAGTTCCCTCAGCATGCTGACCACTCAAGAAGCCGTACTATGGTTATCACCTGCAAGCCACCCAGGCGGCGTAACGTAACCATGCCGCTAACATGCACAGCCTCCACTACGGTGAACGGCTGGTGATATCTGCAGGCCGATTCGAAATCATCAAAATGGCAATCAGGACAATAAATACCACCATAATATTCTGCCAACGGTCACACAATTAAATCAAAACAGTGACCAACTACCAGCTTGTGTGTTGAGACTTGATGGTAAGGTGGTTTTGAAGACTTTTGACATTCACGATACACATCAGTCTATCGACGCACCCAACGTCCTCTCCCAACGTAGAGACTCAAAGGCAGCGCTTTATCCCATTCACTCCATCATCACCGCCATCCAAACCAACATCCCAAACTCATCTAACCCATCACACCAGTCGGACACACGAGATGTCATCTCCCCCTCCTCCACCTCAGTCCCAGTCCCGTTTCCCGTAGCACGTCTCACCCGTCGCAAATCTTGGATACTCAAGGGCTTCTTCCGAATCTCTGCTTCCATCTTCTTGTAGCGCGCTGACCACTCGACATTTGACACAGGCTCCCACAGATACCTTCCTGTCGGGACTGCCACCTTGTCATAACCACAGGTAGCTGCTTTCCCTCCGCTGAAATCTGCGTCGACGAGCAGCTCGAACCCAAAGTTCAGGCAGACGTTTCTGTGGCAACCTACAGTTAGCAATATGCATCTACTAGGACAGATCTACGACGAACCTCCGAACACTCTCCCTCAGAGCCCATTCTCGCCGGTCAAGGCTAGAGCCGTTGATGAAGTTGGAGGTGTAATCCATCTGAAAATAAAGCTTTCTTGCCAATAGCTGCTCTCATACATCAGCATGCATAGTCTAACTCCAGGAAACGCGAGCTTCTCACAACAGGGGTTGATACTAGGAAGTCAATATCGTTATGGGGGATGGAGTCTTGGTCCTTCACTTGCAGCAGTACGTATATCGTCATAGCTTGCCCAGCTGATACGAGCTCTTCGCGACTGAAGGAATCGTACTATCACCCAAAACTTCTTAGTTAGGTGTACCTCTAAAATCATGGGCTTTGGTCTTACCTCTTCTCTAATCCTGCCAACCTCCTTGTAAATGCTCTTCCACACGAAGGCCGCGCTTCCAGGGGTCCTCGCCTCGTGGGCCTGTACCAGACTACAGCAGATGGCCAGAACTTCGGGCAAACACTGATGATACCCCTGCGCACTGCACTCAGCTGGCGATACGACTCCATCAATTGCACACTGAGGGAAGATGAACGGCGGCAGGCGGCCGCCTCTAGCCATCATCGCGGGATATGAGAGAAGTTGGCCGAGAAGGACTTTTGCGGTGAAGGCTGTTGATGCAGGCTTTCTGATTCTGGGTCTAAGCGGTGCCTCGTCATAGTATCGTGGTAGAGTTGTAGGTGGCGTTTGGGTCGGGACAAGCCGTCTGCTTCTGGGCGAGGCAGGGCTTTGAATGGGGACCAGAGCCCTCTGGGGTTCCATCTCAATCGAATGTTGATCCTCCAGCCATGAGAGCGAATTTGTGCTGTAGGGCATTGCCGGGCTTGGAAGAATCGTATGGATCCTAAAAGGCGAGTTGGATGTACCCTCAATGGCTTGGTTCAGGAAATTGAGCTCACATCCCAAAGATGATTGGAGATTTGACGGTGGTTGTAAACTCTCCCAGTTCATCCAGGGATGTACGCTTTGGTCAGGTCCTAGACTCATGTCAAGGGCCGAAGAAGCCGAGTTGACCTCGTCTATTGCTGCTCCAGACCATGGCCCAGCAGTCCCTCTACTTGGCCTACCGCCTGTTCTAGGCGCTGCAGGCTGGGCAAAGTGAACCGATTGGTTCAAATGTCCGAGGCCGTCATTTTCAAGAGACGTTGCAGCTGGTCGCAGATATCTAGCTGTCGTTCGTCTCGGCAGTTGGTCGTACTTGCAGGCCAACCCTCGTTCGTCACATCGTCGACAAGGTGCATCCAGCGAGCATCTCGCCTTGCTAGTCCGACAGGGAACGCAGGACTTCTTGCGACTAGACATTCTTGCCGAGTTGCAGACTGCCTTGGTGAGACCAATCTTGCCGAGGAATTGGCATCGCGTTTTGGCATCGACAATACTGCTGCCTAGGAGGTGCAAGTCAAAGAAAGGGGGCTAACAATGGAGCAGTGGTGTCAGCACGTCGCGGAGTTCCGACCAATCAGCGGCCATCCTTTTCACGGCGCCGGCGCCGGTAAGGAAGGACCCACTGAACTCCGGACGGGGGCCTGCACTTCTTCCAAACCTTCACAGAGATGGCCTGGATTTTCCGAGGTCTAAACCAATAATCGATGACCTTGTCACATCTCACGAATTCCGATCTGCGTTTCAAAAGGGCGCTGAGAGACAGATGTAGCTGTTAGCTGCTTTCGGCGGAGTTGCAACCAATCAGAGGCTGTCATCTCGCCCAACTCCGGAGCTCGCAAGAGAGACGCCACAAGCGTCATGCCATAGGGGCATTATCTTCTACAGGCAGTCGACGAATTTTCTGTAAGTAGGTATCTTGAATTTCTATTGCGCAGAGGTTCCATCGATTTGGCTCGGATTCAGCGTTGCGGAGCTGACACGGATATTCGGCACTTCCACGCACTTACACTCTTTGATGGTATCTTGACACCCTCTCGTCAAATGATATAAAACGGCCTACCCAAGTCTCGCTCTCAGAATTTTCGCACAGCTTTGAGGCCATTCTCTACGTTGCTAAAAGGCAGTCATCGCTCACATCATCAATCATGGCTCCAACCCGCGTCGGCATAATCGGCCTCTCAGCCAAAGCCCCCTCATATGCCCCCGGCACCTGGGCCTCAGCATCCTTCCTCCCTTCCATTCAAAACTCCCCCAAGTACACCATCGTGGCCCTCTGCAACACCTCAACTGAGGCCGCTCGCCGCTCCATTCAGTTCCACAATCTTCCAGAAACCACCAAAGCCTACGGTGACCCTCAGGACCTGGCCAACGACCCCGATGTCGACCTCGTCATCGTCAGCGTCGTCGTAACCCACCACCTCAAACTTGCTCTTCCTGCTTTGCAGAAGAAGAAGGAAGTCTTTGTAGAGTGGCCCCTGGGCCATTCCGCTGCGGAAGCAGAGCAGATGGTAGAGCTGGCCAAGACGAATGGACTGAGAACTATTGTTGGCCTGCAGGCTCGTGCTGATCCTTCCATGATCAAGTTGAGGGAGATCATCAACAGCGGAGAGATTGGAGAGGTCAAGAATACCACCGTCGTTGGCACACTTCCCGCCCTTCCTCCGCAATTTTGGATCGAGGGGATGGAGCAGTTCCTCGACATCAAAGGCGGAGCGGGCGCTTTCCACATAGTCTTTGGACACTGTAAGTGATATCCTCCTGATCTCACATACATAAACGGGGTTTTTAACAATCTTCCGTAGTCATAGACTCCTTCACTCACATCCTCGGCCCCTTCGACACCTCCAGCATCAGCTCGATGCTCAAGACAGACAACGACCACATGCCAATCTACATCCCAGACCGAACCGCAATCGCCATCCCCTCGCACCCCAAGACCGCCCCGGACCACATCCTCGTCCAGGGCAGCCTCCAGAGCGGCGCCCTGGCCACCGTCCATTTCCGCACGACGCAGGCCTCCATCGACGACGTCGGCATCCGCTGGATCATCTCCGGCTCCAAGGGCGAGGTCGAAATCACCTCGCCCTCGAGCAGCTGGCAGGGCTATTTCCCGAACCGAAAGATTAAGGTCAAGGTCTTTGGCGGGGAGACGCGGGACGTGGATTTTGCTGCGGATCTTGGGGCTGCGGCCGAGGTTGGACAGCGGGCTGTGAACACGGCTTTGGTCCTGGATGCGTTTGCCAAGGGGAAGAAGGAATTGTACGCTGACTTTGAGGCGGGCTTGCGCAACCATAAGCTGCTGGATGTGATTCTGAAGAAGTCGAGCTTGGAGGTTTAGGGCAGGCATTACATTGGTTCTATATCAATCATGTCGTTAGCAGTAAACTCCACCCACTACTGAGGATAGGTTCAATATTCGACAAAACCATTAAGTTCGACAGAATACATAAAATTATTGTTCCAATCTGAGTCTCTCCAAGAATTCACCGCAGATCACAGGTTCCGCACCATAAGCCGGCTCCTCAAGACCCGGTCCATGCCGGTGGATCCACCTTCGGCGCCAGTGCCGATGCCGGCGTTGCATGCCGAAGCCCGGAGATCGTGACAAATTCCCTCCGAAATCTGACTCGGCATGACACCCGAGATGGACTCCCTCCAACCGCACTCGACAAAGTCTCAAATTTCATGCGGGTGTTATACTGTCTTTCATTTTGGTTAATGCTCATTGACGATACAACATCAATTAGTGAACGACACCAAGCAAGACGGGGTTCTCAAGCGTCTTTCTCCGTCTCACGACTCTTCATTCTCGTCTCATCCAGAAGCCATCCAAGTGAGCCGCAACTTACACCCAACCTCACACCTCCTCATCAACCACCAAAACCCAAACCCATCACCCCCTCACAATGCCCGAACCAACACCCACACCCCCCGTGATCGCAATCCTAGACACAGACACCACAGTCCCCTCCATCCAACACTCCCACGGCAAATACTACAGCGCCGCCTACATCCACCACCTCACAGCCGCCGCGACCGCCGCCTCCCTCCCCGTCCCGACCTTCACGACCCACAACGTCCTCGAGGACGCCTACCCAGACCCGGACGCCGTCTCCGCCATCCTCATCACCGGCTCCATCGCCGCCGCCTACGACACCCACCCCTGGGTCCTCCGCCTCGCCGCCTTCATCGCCGACGTCTACGCCAACCACCGCCACGTCCGCATCTTCGGCACCTGCTTCGGCCACCAGCTCATCGGCCAGGTCCTCCTCGGCCCGCACGGCGCCGTCGTCGAGAAGGACCCCGCCGGCTACGAGTTCGGCGTCCAGACCATCGCCCTCCACCCGCGCCTGGTCGCCGAGTACCCCTGCCTGCGCGGCCTCGCCCAGGTCAACGACGAGCAGCAAAAGGACGTTCGCGGGCTCAGGCTGCAGATGTGCCACGGCGACCACGTCGCCCTCCCCGTGACGCTGCCGGGCTCGTGGCTCAACATCGGCGGCAGCGCGCAGTGCGCCGTCCAGGGCCTGTACGAGCCTTCGCGCGTGCTCACCATCCAGCCGCACTTCGAGGGCGACCAGGTCATGATGGAGGAGACGATCAAGCACTTCTACACGCCCGAGAAGGGCTTCTCGCCAGAGTTTCTGGAGAAGGCGTTCGAGGGCACGAGGAGGCAGGACGACGCGGGCGTCGCCGCGGAGTGGGTTTTGAGGTTCTTGTTGGGCATTTCATAGCTTGGACGAGATAGGTTCGGTCTGGAGGGGTTGGTCACGGCACGGGTGTCGTCATATTCCGCAGCGGACGTAGAATACCCAAGTGTATCTAATGCGTTTTATACACGGGCCGGTTTATTTTCTAGATTGCAGTTGCTTCTTATCTCCCAATTCCGCAAACTTGAAGTCGAAATCGGGTGCCCCGTTGCATTTGATCAATGGTCTCGCTCAATGCCCCAGTTCTTGCTGCTTGCTGAATGGCGGCTCCTGGAAGGTAGATTGGCCGATATGCACGGGACCGTCCTGAAGCCTGGAGGTGAAGTCTCCTTGCGTAGAGTAGGACCATGGTGGCTGCAACGCTGCCATCCCGGTTAAGGATACTTCGGCGGCGAAGGAAGCTGTGTAGTGTCAGTCTCCTGGGCCGGGTTTTGGTACCCGACATCCTTAGAGTCCTCGGTCTCCTGAGAATCTTCTATCTGCTCAGGATCCTCAACCTCCTTAGAGTCCTCAACCTCCTTAGAGTCCTCGACGTCCTTAGAATCCTCGACGTCCTTCGAATCTTCTATCTTCTCAAGATCCTCAACCTCCTTGAGATCCTTGGCCAGCTTAGAAACCTTAATCTGTTTAGGATTCTTAACCGGCTGAGGATTCACGTTCGACTTTTGGTTCTTTTTCTCGGTGGAAACGATTTGTTCAAACCACAATTTTAGCTCTGGCTCTGTCTGAATCTGCTTCTTGATATAGCCTTCGTCCACCCAATGGGGCGGTGGAGGCATCTCGCTTGTTCCCGATTTCGTCAGCCGCACCGATGCGCGTTCATACGACATGATCGCGCGAACGAGCGAGCAGGTGGCCTGGAGTGCATGCGATCCGCGCCAGCCGCTCATAGGATCCAACTGTGCCGCCCTGATCGTCAACAGTATCCTACGAACAGCATCCTTCTTAGCATCCTGCTTTGATGGTCGCTTCGGTTCGTCTTTACTCTCAACGTCGACCTCCATATCTGACGAAAGACCCTGCTTCCGTCTCTGCTCGAACCAGGCTTCCAGGCTTCGTGACCTCCGAAGGGCACGCTGCGTGTTGATCCCCCGCGCCATCTGCAAATTCGTGAGCTTTGAGTGCACCATCTCATGACAGGGCCTGCAGACGGGGATCGTTTCATCCTTCCTCCGCCCACGCTTGATTATTGCATTTTCTTTTTCCGATTTGGGAACGAGGTGGTGCTTGGTCATCTGATACGACTCGCGATCGCAGAGAGAGCATACTCCCGGCTCACCCCTGACTTGTTCTTCTTCATCACGTTCGTTGGCCTCACTCGCCTCGTCTCTCGTGCCCAGATTTTCCACCGGCGGTCGTACTCTTTCTTCCGACGAGACTGAAGGCGAGACAGACGTCTCCGGTGCTGATGGCGCAACAGATCCATCTTCGCTGGCCACGTGAGCATCCTCGTCATGTGAAGAGGCCCGCCATCTCCGGCGTTCGGGTCCATTTTCTGGCGCTGTGTCCACCCTTGAAGTTGTGTATGAGGAGTAGGGGGTCACTGTCGCATGCACAGATACACTGTGCCCCGGTTGAGCGTTGATAGTGATCACCACGGGCTGGTTTTCGTTTCGCTTCTTCCCACTGCGCTCTTCCTCGTGACGCTCCCTTTCCACTTGCTCCTTTTCTTCTCGTTTTCTCCTGCTGCGCTCGATAAAAGGCTGAACAAAATCGGGAGCTCCCCTGCTTCCGAGCCCTCTCCTCGAGTTCAGACGCACATCCGGCCGCGTCTTGTGAGCAACTCTCGAGTGACCCCTCTCCATGCGATTTAGCTCCGCGTGAACCGCTCGTACCGCCTGCGAGCGGCGGCGAGGGCTGATTCTATTCCGGCGATAGGGCTCCCAGCGGTCATCGATCTCGTCCGATGGCTGAAAGTCTTCCTCACGGGCCTCATCCCCGCCACGCTCATTCTCTGCCTTCGCCGCCTCGGGATCCTCCTCCTTGGAAGACTCAAACGTATCAACAGCGTAATAACGGTGACAATTTGAAATGATTGGCAGTGGTCCGACACAGACACGTTTGCTGCTCCATGGAAGCGACCGCAGGACTCCCGTCGACGCGAACGCCCGCGCATATCCCACGGTCCCAATGAGACGGGCAGCTCTGGTCGGTACTCTCATCATCGTTTTATAACGGTTGACATCTCAATATGAATTGTTGAGGATCGAGGAGGAAGAAAGGAACCCAATAGTGGCGAATTGGAAGTGTGTTGATGGGAGATGAGAGAGTCGATTTTCGTTGGTTGTTGGAAAAAAAGAAAGCATGGACCCACGCGACCGTTCGGGAGCGACAGTTCCCCGTTGCTTCTTAAGATCCACGGGTTTTCAATCCAACAGGAGCCTCAGGGAGAAGGAGAAACACCAGCTGTCATTCACAAGTTCAATATTGTACGAATGTTATCATCAGTTTGTGGTCTCATTTAACGACATAAGACAGTAAAACCAACACCGGCAAGGCCTCTCTTTGGATGAAGCCAAGGTATTATACATCTGAATTTCTTTTGTAATGCCCATGCCTACTTTAAAAACTCCGTCCCGTTCCATCTTCCTCCATCGTACTGCCGCGCTTGCGCTTGACACCCGCGACACGTCCAATGCGGTCCTAGTACAATGGCGTGTTATCAGCGTCTGCCAGCCACAACGTTGCCAGGTCTCGCGACAAGCCCAGCCTCAGGACTCGAAGCACATCCCCCGCCGATGCGTTCGCCGTCAAGCCTGTTCTCCAATCCCAGCCACGCTTGGTGTTAGCGCGTGAGAGGCCGGCACTGCCGCTGATGGAGCGGTTCAGCTGGCTGGCGAGCATGGAGCTGCCGCTCAGCATGTAGCTTCCGCTGAGGGAGCCGGTGCTCTTGCGCATGAGGTCCGCTGGCGTAGAGCCCTTCAGACCTTGAGCCGAAGCCAAAACGAGCTTGAAGAACTCGTCTGCGGCATTGAATATTGTTGAATTGACCGTCTGAATGTCCTCAATCGCCTTGAGAAGGATGTCCATTTGGTCTAACGTGATGACTGCAGGGCTCTGGTTGACGAATGGAAGAGCCTCGCCGAGCAGCGCAAGAATGAAGTCCTCGCTGACAACGGCATCACGCGTCTCATCATATAGGCCGCCGCGGATGTTGTCATCGGAGCTGGCGACGACAGCAATTAGAGCGGACGCGGCCTGCTTGCGAAGAGAAGTAGATTTGTGTGCCGACATGCTTGCTAGTCCGTCGGTATCCCGGATCTCGTAGTACTTTCTAAGCGTAGCGTAACCACTGAGCATGCGGCCGAGAAGTTGTGCCGCTTCGAGGTCCTGTTTGGCATATTGCTCGAGAGTTTGCGATCGCTCGTTCAGAAGCTTGTGAAGGTGGTCGTCCAGGTCGTTCGCAGGAGGATAAACCGTAGAGTGTAGGAGAGAGTATGACATTAGCAGGTTGAGCACTTCGCGCACTTTGCCTGGTCTGTGGGCAAGGGCGTAGTACCACAATGCCTCTCCATATCTGTGAGATTCTTCTCCCAAGATGTCTGCATACGTCTGCGATTTGTTAGCTGACTTGTCACTCTCCCCAAAGGAAGTCACCATACCTCTGCGGTCTGCTCGGCGTAGTTGATCATGCCGAGATCGTTCAAGATCCTCCAGATCTTGTCCACAGTCACGCCCGAATCACCGTCGATGGTTTGCAGAATATCACCAAGCAGCTCGCCCACCATCTCCTCAGACTTGGCGGCTGAGTCCATGCGACCCAGCACTTGGATCGCCATCTCCCAGCCACTGCGAGTCTCAGATAATTGGTCGATTCCGGCCAATTCTCGTGCGTAATGCGTGAGTGTCGTGTCCTTGATACCCTCCACCTCATCAGCCCCCTGAGGGCTAACTCCAAGGATGTCGAGATCCTCCATGTCCAAGCTGTCCATAGTAATCAAGTTGGGCGGCTCAGGCTTCGGAAGCCACTGTCCGAGAGATGCAAGCTCCGCCACAGAGGAAGCAATAGGCAAAGACCATGCTCGCAAGATACCAATTACCGCGGCAAAGTTCGACTCGAAAGCGGAGGCAATGGCCACCTCGACAGGGTTCATTGCGTTGATGTGGAAATCCGACTCGATCGCAGTGTGAAAAGAAAGCGACAGACGCTCGAAATAGCTCTCTGGGCCAGATGAAACAGCTGGCAGACGCAGTCCCTGCGATCGAGACATGCGCAGGCTCTTCTGTTGTCCGCGTCCCTCTTCCCACCATCCGAAAAGACCAATCGTTGCCTCGCACCAATCTTGCGCCGTCTCGAGAATGGCATCAGGAGTGCCCATGATGATCTGGTAAATGGTCTGGAGGTGTTCGTAGATATCCCAAGGAACCTGTCCCTCGGCCTTCCGGGCTAGGCGAGCCAGAGACGTGCGGCCAGGGCCGTATGAGCTGTCGTCGCTGTCGCCGCCATACAAGCCCTTATCCTTGCCCTCTGCGAACCGCTGCAATTTGTCCAGTGAGCCCTTAGCTTGGATACGATACAGCGTCCAGTCACTGCTGAAGAGGTCCCAGTTGCCCTTGTTCCCTGGGCACATGTCGAGTGCCTCGCATGTCATGCCGACAGCACGCTGCAAGTTGTCCAAGGCCTTGCCGCTGTACGCCAGTTCTGCGCGAGTTCCCTTCCTGACAGACTCCCATCCGGCATTCCTCAGCAACTGGGAAACAAGGTTAACGTTGCCGCGGATGAGTGCACTTCGTAGTGTAGGCCAGAAGAGGCTGTGGCTGGCGGGGCTTGGCCTGTGACGCATCACAATATTGAACTGATCAGGGTAGAGGTTGTGGTTGTCCTCGATCCAGTTGAAGAGGACCTGGGGCAGAGGTGGCGCCTTGACCTCACCGGGGCCCTCAGCAAAGCGGGTGTGATGCATCTGGAGGACCAACCTGGCGACGTAGGCGGCCTTGTGGAAGGGCTCAGCGTCAGGCCCAGGTCCAATCTCAGCGACGTGCTCTCCCTCGGGCATGGGCAGCGTCTCGGAGAAGTCGTCCCAGAGCTCAACCAAGGGGTACACAATCGTCGCCAAAGAACCATCCAGCTTGTCCGGGTCTTCTTGCGCACCAATTCCCTCGTCGTAAAGTTGGTTCACCAAGTCCTCCGTCTTCAAAACAACCTCGGGCGACTCCGTGATCACCGTCATACCCATCTGGTTGTATAGATCCTTTGCAATGGACGCGTACTTGAAGTCCTTCCGTCTGGAGGCTGAAGAGCGACGCATAGATGAGGCACGGAAGATATCTTCAGCTTCCTTGCGCATACGCTCCGTCGCCGCTGGTGTTGCCAGAAGCAAGAGGTCCGACTCCTCCCCGTTACCGCCATCCACACCATCGTCGGAGTAGACAGGCTCGTCGTCGTGGCGCGTGCTGTGGCGCATATTCAGAAACATGTCATCGTCGTCCTCGGCATATTCTTCGTCCTCTGCTTCGCCATCAGCATCCTCCTCATCGATATCGGCTTCGAGGTATCGCTCCATCTCAGCATCGGCTTCCTCACGCTCGTCGTACTCCTCTTCATCCTCCTCTTCCTCCTCCGAGTCGTCGGGAATCATGTACCGGCCGGTGCGGTTGTCGTATGTTACGTCGCGCTCTGCGGCGCCATACTCCTTGCTCAGTCCCGAGGGCTGCCTGACGTGCTTGGAGCTCTGGTGGATTGACTGGCCCAACGGCTTCTGCGAGAAGGGGTTCTGGGACGTGGCATTGCTGAGTCCAAAGAGGTTTTTCGTAGGGCCCGAGGTGCTCGCGCCGCCAAAGTTGAACGATTTCTGATTAGTGCTAGCTCCCAACAAGGAGCTTCCGAGGTAGGATGCAGACGGTGCGCCGGCAGGTGTGAATGACGCCTGAGACGACGGCGGAGGGCCTGCGGGTGTTGTCGACGGATTATCGCCAAAGGGATAAGCCGATCCCTTGCCTGTGTTCTTGCCAGGGGTAGATGGCGGCGAGCTGCTCCAGTCGTCGTTGAAGCTGAACTTGTTGGGCATGGCGACTGAATGCGGGCGACCTCAGGTCACCCGGCTGCGTCTCGTTTCGCGGGCGGTGTGCAAATGCAAGGAGATTTTCGTTCGTGTCAGCAAGCGAGGCAATTGATCGTGTCGCGTTCGTCGGGATTGACGAGCTTGTCGGGGTTGGGATGGGCGCGCGTATCGTGGTGGATGAGCAAGGCAGGGCAGCAAGCTCTGCGATGTTTGGCTGGACGCGCTTGCTGGATAAATTTTGGAGGTTCGCGATGCTCGCCTGGTCAACGCGGAGGAAGCCGCACCAGATGCCCCACTTTGGCCGGCCGCCTGCCAGTTTTCTTGCAGGGAGCTCTCAGCTGGGGAGCTGGCCGCTAAAAGTACGTAACTGACGCTAAAACCCGAGAGCTCCCCCAACCCGCCTCACCTCACACACACGCTTCCGACTCCCGACAAGAGGTGTGGCACATTGCTGAGGCGATGCATCCAAACTCCACGCACTCCCCAATATCAGTTTTCCGCTACTGAAAGTCGGGGTCGTATTATTGGAAGTTTCGGCACAGCAGAGTTCAGACGTTCCCTCCACACTATGAAGATATGATGACATGGTGATGGCTGCTTGGCTGCATCAACACAACACTGCGTTTGCGGGGTAATGTGGCATGATTTCTTTCTCCCGGATACTTGTGCTGTATTTGTGATGTATTCTGAATTTTGGTGTATTCTGGATTTTTATGTAGCAGGTAGTCAAAGGTTCTTTCTTATTATCTCACAGCATCAATCATCTGCAACGGAGGTCGGTATCCGGACAACGATCCCGTCTTATCGTTGCTCTGCGGGCTTCTTACCTAACGCCGGCTCCAGCATTTCACGGCCGGCTTCGGCGTCGGGTCACCGTCCGACCTTGAGATAAGATAGGATAGGGCTACCCAAGCAGGCAGGATACGGCTGGCAATTTCAGCATAGGGAAGCACAACTCCGTAGCCTGTAGGTAACAGACTCCCCTCGGCGGTCCAGGCCCGGACATATGTCGGATTGTCTTGGTCAGCGGCTGTGCTCCGTGACTCCTCCAGCTCTTACTCGACACACACTCTCCGGGCCTCGTGCTTGTCCTTTCCTCCTTGGCGAAACGGAAGGGCATCGCGAGCGGCAGCGGCTTGGCTTCTCGTAACAATCGCCGACGGACTATGCCTGAACGGGGACGCAAATGGCACCTCAAAGGCCTAACACCGACGGCTTAAACTTTTGGCGGCCCCTCCTGCAGACAAGTATCAAATGTGCAGCAAGCCATGAACAACGAAGAGACGCCGGACGGGTGGAGGAGGGGTTGCCCGGCTGGCTGGCCGGTTGGTCTGCCGTACGCTTGCCTAGAACATAGACGACATTGAACAGCGAATAACATTGAATTCCGGGGTTTATTCGCTTCCGCTGACTGAGGGCGAGGGAGGAAGAGCAAGAGCCCAGCCCGGCCAATGACGTACTGGTTTGGGGTAATTCTGCACTCGCAGCGGGTGCGGTGCTTCCAATGGCTCACAGCTGTACCGAGAGTCGCGGCTGGCATCAACTCTGTTTTACCAGCACTCGATGACGGGCTGTTTTAAGCCCCGCTTTTCAAAGTAGTCGCCATCTGAGTTGCGTATCCCCCTCCCCGAACCCCCGAGCACCCCGTCCACGGCGCGTCCAGTGCTTTCTCTTGTGAAGGAGGGGAAAAAAGCATAGAGCGGGGTGGGGTTTGGAGATCCATTTGCACGCCCAGCCAGAGCCAAGCGGCAGTTCGTCTGGGTCTTGGGTGTGCGGGTGTGTGTGTGTGGTATCTGCATCTCGAGATCCATTTCCCCCCCTCCTTCTTGAAATAAATACCTGACCCTGCCCAGTAAAGCAAGGCTTAGTGCGTGATTCCTCTTCCATCAAGGTTCTCATCGACCCTCCCTTCATCAAATAAAACACCCATCATGTCTGCCACTGCAGGAAAGGTATGTCCAATCTTTACCGTCATGTTCCCTGCCACTCGACGGTGCTGCTGCTGCTTCACATTGCGGGGTAGCTTAGCTACGACTCGTCGTCTTTTCCCACCAACCCGCCCGCCATTGAACGTCTCCCGAGCTCTCCGCTGACCCAATGATCTCCCAAACAGACCATCACTTGCAAGGCTGCCGTCGCCTGGGAGGCCGGTAAGCCCTTGAGCATCGAGGACATCGAAGTCGCCCCTCCCAAGGCCCACGAGGTCCGTATCGAGATCTACTACACCGGTGTCTGCCACACAGGTCAGTCAGTCCCGATATAAACCCCTCACATCGTCATGCAGGAGCTTCGGATTAGCTTCCGAGACCGCATTTCCAGCTCCCGGCATAGCTCCCGGAAGCCCCCTCGATCGAACACCACCAGCAAGACCTCAGAGACCTAACATACATACACACACACAGATGCCTACACCCTCTCCGGCAAGGACCCCGAGGGCGCCTTCCCCATCGTCCTCGGCCACGAGGGCGCCGGCATCGTCGAGTCCGTCGGCGAGGGCGTCACCAACGTGAAGCCCGGCGACCACGTCGTCGCCCTCTACACCCCCGAGTGCAAGGAGTGCAAGTTCTGCAAGTCCGGCAAGACCAACCTCTGCGGCAAGATCCGCGCAACCCAGGGCAAGGGCGTTATGCCCGACGGCACCTCGCGCTTCAAGTGCAAGGGCAAGGACCTCCTGCACTTCATGGGCACCTCCACCTTCTCCCAATACACCGTCGTCGCCGACATCTCCGTCGTCGCCGTCCAGCAGGACGCCCCCATGGACCGCACCTGCCTGCTCGGCTGCGGCATCACCACCGGCTACGGCGCCGCGCGCATCACCGCCAACGTCCAGGAGGGCGACAACATCGCTGTCTTCGGCGCCGGCTGTGTCGGTCTGTCCGTCGTCCAGGGTGCCGTCGTCAACAAGGCCGCCAAGATCATCGTCGTCGACGTCAACCCCAGCAAGGAGGAGTGGTCCCGCAAGTTCGGTGCCACCGACTTCGTCAACCCCACCGAGCTGCCCAAGGGCACCTCCATCGTCGACAAGCTCGTCGAGATGACCGACGGCGGCTGCGACTACACCTTTGACTGCACCGGTAACGTCGGCGTCATGCGTGCTGCCCTCGAGGCCTGCCACAAGGGATGGGGACAGAGCATCGTCATCGGTGTTGCTGCCGCCGGCCAGGAGATCTCCACCAGACGTAAGTTTACTGCCTCTCTTCCCCTCGTGGATCATGATACTAACACCCGTCCACAGCATTCCAGCTCGTCACCGGCCGCGTCTGGAGGGGTTGTGCCTTCGGCGGCGTCAAGGGCCGCACCCAGCTGCCCGGCCTCGTCCAGGACTACATCAAGGGCGACCTCAAGGTCGACGAGTTCATCACCCACCGCAAGACCCTCGGCGAGATGAACGAGGCCTTCGACACGATGAAGCAGGGCGACTGCATCAGAGCCGTGGTCGACATGCGCAAGTAAGCATCCACGAACACACGGCTCTGGTTGCACGACGTTATTTTTCTCGTGTCAATTCAGTGTTCATTATAAGAAAAAAAAAGTTACTGATAGTTTAATAACAAAAAAAAGTGAAAACGATATCAAATCTTTCGTCGCGAAATCCCGGGATGCAAAATTGTGAAGCCAGGCGGATGGGCGAGATGGTGACGGTGACGACGGTCTACGACTCGATGACGACGAAGAACGACTGCGACGAAGCCCACGACTACGACGACGACAACGACAACGAGGAGGCTCTGCCGCTCAGCCTGTCCCTACGCAATGGCGTACCACAGCAATGTTCGATAGCAATAAAGCGACGTGTCGTAAGAAGAAAAGCAGGGACCTGAGACAAGACGATCAGCATGCGTGCGTGAGGTGTATGTGTGAACCTTGACAGTCGGCTCCTCCGCCATCCACCGGAGCCGTGACGTTCCAGAACCGCCGCCGGCCGCATTCGGCAAACCCGAAGATCACTCTCACCTCCGGCGCCGATACACCACGCCGCTCATCCCGGCGCCATACCCCTAAGGTCACTCAAGCCCCAGCGCGCCGGGCGCGACATCCCTTCCAGACCTCCTTCCCGTTCGGGGGTGGTGGTGTATGTTCATCGCGCAGTGTGACCGACTCCTTGCAGCGGAGGCGAGACGCACAGCTTTCAGCTTGCTGCAGACTCCCGCTCCGTGTCCATGGGATCGCAGACCCGAATACATACCAGCCGAAAAAATGCCCTGCCCTTACCTCCCCTCCCGGTGCATGTCGTGAACGCCAGGAACTATCGAAACGCTGCTGACGCCCCGCCCCGTGACTTTTCAGCTGATGTTAGTCGACCAAACCTCCTCTTCCTCTTCCCTCCTCTTCCCAATTCCAAGGATGAACTTCTTCCCACAGGAACACGTGAGAAACACGCCCATCCGCAATTCAAGCACCACAATCCAAAGACCCCATCCATTGAGCCTCAGATATAGACTTTGTCGCGGAGTTTTGGAAGTGGCATTGTTGATCCCAAAAAACACAGTTCAGCATGCTCGAGCGCAAATCCCCATGAACCAGCCGTCAAACATCGGATCAACTACACACTCTCACCCCTCCGGACCTAGCAAACAAGCAAGAAACTACGCCCCGGCCGCCCGGTCGTCGGCGGATACCCGAGCATCCGTCGACTGCTGTGCTACTCGTAGCCCGACGCGGGAGAGAGAGAGAGAGGGTTGTGTCGGGATGCAAGCTGAGAATCCTCTGTTTCCCCTTTTTCTTTCTTCCATCATTGCAGCGGACGCCGTATCGCATTCTGCCAAGTGCGCTTAATCTTCCCGTTTGCTTGAATAGAATTTTTGGTGGCCGCAGCCTGCCCGGGTTTCTGTGTTGCTCTCTTCTTTGTCTCCTTCCGCAGGCTGGCTGAGACGTTGTTTAAGACGGGGGAAAACAAAAAGAAAAGCAAACGTCCCCTGGCGCTCTTTCCCGCAGACTGCATACGGATACGTGACCGTCATCAAGAAAAAAAAAACAGGGACGCCGCTACCCATTGTTCATTGTTTAAAAAGTGACAGAAAGTGGTGTGCTAACATGGCAACCTACATTGTCTCGGAGAGGTCAGCGGTCTAGAGGTGTCCATTGGCATCAATCACAGTTGCAATCGCGGCTGATGTGTTCCTACCTGAAGGACGGGAGACCCCCTGTATATTGACAGCCAAAGGCGCTAATAATACTTCACATCAATGGAGGGGGTTGCAGCGTTTGCTGTGCAGTCCCTTTCTTCTTGCTTCTCCGTTGGCTCGCTGGCAGGGGGCCTTGACAGGAAAAGCTGGGGGAATCGGACGATGTGGTTCAGGGGTGTTGTCGTTGTGGCTTGTTGGGGCTGGCGAAAATGGAATGAACCGTGGGGAAATAAATCACATATTCGCTTCCGCGTCTCGGCTCGGTCAACCTTCACCGTCCGACGTCCAATCGTCCGCATGGCAGCAAACGGATACGGCGCCTCGGGTTAATTTTGGGTGGGAGGGAGAGAGATAGCCAGGTAAATGTTGCGACTGGGGAGGCGGTGCGAAGGTGTAGGGATTCCCCCACCGTCGGAAATCAGGATTGAGAGACGGCCACGCATTGAATAGCTAATTTTGATGGGCAATCAACGCTAGACTCGCAATCTCCAAAGCGTTGTATCGATCATTTGTTGGGGCGGAGGGGAATTGGATCAGATACACAAGCCGATACCCCACGCTGGACATTGAACATGGCATGTGCTGTAAATAAACATGTCAACAACTCCATATTTAGAGACCGAGGATTGCTTGATTGTGCCGAGAGATGGGATATGGAGCGGAAGGATCTGTCGGGAAGAAGACTAGAATGGCCTTCGGTGTTTCAGTCGCCATTGTTGCGAGGGATCCAGGAAGACAGAAAGGCCAGAAAGGTCAAGCCACATGCCAACACATGTGCCTGCTGTCGAACCCGGACATTTCTGTTCGTCGGCGGTTCGAGATGCCGATCAGCGGGTAGATTAAGAAGTATTGGACGGCTTCTGCTGGGCGTATTCGAATAGGCGGAAAGGGAGAATGCAAAGCGGCCTTGGACTTCCGACCGCCGGGCGAGTCGGCCAATATTACTCGGCGTCGCAAGCTTGCCAGTTGTTGGTCTCGTGAACGTCTTCAAAATACCCATGTACGTCTACCCCTCAAGGATGATAAGATAAGACGAGCGGGCCCTGCCACGTTCGACGACAGCACTAGTAGCGGTAGTGTCGATAGCGGTACCAGGATCGCGAGTCCGGAACAGCTATTCGTATTCAGTTGTTCATCCCGTTGCTTGCCCAGGACATACGAGATGTGACCACAGACACCCTGTACGTGAACAAGATACGACGTTGAAGGAGTGAAAGAAGACAGACAATGCCGGGCGGCATGTTCAGTCGCAGTTCTACCCCGGCCGTGTAAGTGTCCTTGACTTGCGGGCTGTATCCGCCGTATCTTGTCCGGCTGGGGACATCGTCGAGGCTCTCACAACACCCTAGTTGACGGCCAGTGATACTGCTCCCAAGAAACTGGATGCAGTGGCTGCAGCAGGTCAGATCCAATATGGTAGGAGGTCGGGTCGCACGGCGCTAGTCTGGGCGGCACCGCTTCTCGCGAAGTTGCAGCTGGTTTGGTTTGATACCGCACCTGCCAGTTTTCGTTTCCCCCATCTGTCAGAACTCAACTTTTAGTTTGGGAAGATCAGGCCAGTGGGTGCACCGGTTCGGCAGAAGGAGGCGCAAGTCTAGAAAGCCGTTTACCATCCGGAGCCGAGCCTGGATTTTGTGTAGGACACGACCAGCAGGCCTGAGTGGCACACTGGTCATGCCAAAGCCCTGCGGCTGCACAACTCGGTCCAGCGGTGGCCCCCTCTCACATCAGCGAGGCCAGCTTCTCGGTGACGGTCGTCGCAGACTCACACCGCGAGTACGGGACGGTCGTCGCGGATTGACCCAATGGGATTGTCAACGCTGGAATCTTTTTAGGATCGGGAATAAAGGTGCCCGGGTCATGGCAAATGCGGAGGCCCCGAGGGGATTTGGACTGCACAGGAGTTGGGTGATGAAAACGAGGTTATTCCTTGCAGACATCGCCCAAGCAATGACTTCGGGCCGGTAAGGGGTCGCAGGAGGCTTAATCCTTCCATTAAAAGCAACTTTGCCTTATGCTTGACTTGATGCTAGCCTTTGTTTGCACGTCACTGCAGCCCGTCAAGAAGTGTAAAAGAGCAGACGAGACAAGTGAGGCGTACCCGGGAAGTGGTGGCTGCTGAGGGAGGGACGGTTCATCGCAGTGTTTGGAGCGCGATGCACTCCATAGCTTGTGGAGGCTGCGATGATGGCGAATACTAGGCTGCTGGCGGACTAGCATGTGGGGGAGGACGTTGGGCGTGGATGCGCAAGATGAAAGGAGAGGGCGGGTGCTACTGGCGACTGGCAATTCCAATGAGACCCCAAGCGCTGACACGCAAGTCAGTCGTCCATCCATCGCCAACCATTTTCGTAGCGGGTTACGAACGAAGAGCAGGTCGGGGCACGGCGGGCTGGGATGATTGCTGCAGGCCGCGGTCGTGCAGGAGCCATGATCCATGGGGCCATGCGACAGTCTTGCCAGTGCAGCGCCATGCGGTGCCTTGCCTTGTCATTGTATGTAGTCTGTAGAGGGCAGGGCGATGCGGACTCTCTAGCTGATACGGCGGAGATGGTGTTCGTTGGTACCAGGCACCCAGGTAGACAGACACCAAGGTATTGGTGGTGATGGTGGTAATGATGGGTAATGCGTCCTTGCCCGGCTGGTGTAAGTCTATTTTGGCTGCGCTGGGTGGCGCATGTCTTCCGCATCGTCCACACATAGTCCAAGGCAGCTAGTCAAACGTGAGTTGGTTGGTGAATGGTGCATCGTAGAATAGCCGGCGTCCGGGAGTTGTAACGGGACGCTACGGGATGCATCTTGATGAACGAAGCCGGGCTGTCTTTTCGTCGATGCAGGCGTTGGCAATAGAGGCAAAGACGAGCAGACAGGATAAGTACGAAGGTGATCCGAGGCAAGGCAGTTACAGGTTGGATCTGTCTGCCTTCATCCTCGTTCCTTCCTTTGGTGGCAGACGTCTCCTTCCGTGTTGCCAGTCCTGCTCCTACCTTGCCTGGCTGGAAGGAAGGCACTTCCACGTGTCTTGCCTCCTGCCGTCCTGTGTTCGGCAACTGCCCATCCGCATCGTGGTTCCTTCTTGCAAGCAACCAGTGTGAGCCCGCTTACACAATTGGAAGTGAAGTCGCAGTGGGCAGTCGATGATCTGCATCCAGCACTCTGCGTCTGCGTCGTCCAACTCTCCGCCGTCACTCTCGCTGTTGCTTATTGCTTATTCCTGACTCGCACCGGGATTTCAATCCCCAAGCACGCTGCACACGCCCCGGCCAGCAATGGAACAGTCGCTCGCTGCTGCTGAGTCTACATACGGCTACGGATACCACTGGCACT